GATTGGAGAGTTGGAGATATACAGTGGGGGGCTAAGTTGAACCCTAACCATCCCCTAGTGGAAAAAGACAATAACAGAGGGGTGGGCAGTGAGAGTTGATAAGGGAAGCTTTTTTTTTTTTTAGACAGAATCTTGCTCTATTGCCCAGGCTGGACTGCAGTGGTGTGATCATAGTTCACTGTAATCTCAAACTCCTGGACCCCAACAATCTTCCCACCTCAGCTTCACGCGTAGCTGGTGCACACCACCCTACCTGGCTACTTTATTTATTTATTTATTTTTCTTTTTTAAAATTATTTTTATTATTTTATTTTATTTTATTTTACTATCTTTTTTTTTAAGACAGAGTCTTGTGCTCTGTTGCCCAGGCTGGAGTGCAGTGGCGCAATCTTGGCTCACTGCAACCTCTACCTCCCAGGCTCAAGTGATTCCCCCGCCTCGGCCTCCCAAGTAGCTGGGATTACAGGCACACAGCCACCACGCCTGGCTAATTTTTGTATTCTTATTAAAGACAGGTTTTCACCATGTTGGCCAAGCTGGTCTCGAACTCTTGACCTCATGATCCTCCCACCTTGGCCTCCCAAAGTGCTGGGATTACAGGCATGAGCCACTGTGCCTGGCCCTATTTATTTTTCTTACAGAGACAAGGTCTCACTCTGTTGCCCAGGCAGGTCTCAAACTCCTGGCCTCAAGCAATTCTCCCACCTAAGCCTCCCAAAATATTGGGATTACAGGCATGAGCCACCATGCCGGGCTATCCGGAAAGCTATTTTGTATAGGCAGAACATGTAGAGAGTCTTTACTTCTTAATAATGAGGAGCCTGTGAGACTCTAGGGATAAAAAACAAAAACAACAAAACCCAGAGAGAGAATAAGAGGCTGGACGCCCCGCCACCAGATTTCTAGAGACGGGCAAAATTCATCAGGTTCATGGGGGCTGATTTAGCGGGCCCCAGCCAGTCCTGACAGTGGCTCTGGGACTGCTCACAGCTCTACGGAGGGATGAAGCCCGTCGAGCCAAGGCTTCCGAAGACCAGCTGAAGCAGAGGCTGCAAAGGATGGAGGCTGAGCTGGAAGGGGCCCAAAGTGAAGGGAAGGCCATATATGCAGGTGTGTGGTCTGTTGAGCAGGTGGGCAGGAGACAGGGGCCTGGAGGAAGACAACCAGCAGGGTCGGATGATGCAAGGAAGGGAAACAAGGAGGGCTTCCGACTGCCAGGCCTGGTCTTGGTCTTCCCCGAACAGTACAAAACAGGCAGGATCTTGCAGGAATCAAAGGCAGGTAGGTTCCTGGGATCCCAGGCAGGGGCCTGCCAGGATGCCTGGTGCCATGTGCTTGATGCTGTGTAGGATACACAAGCAGTCATAGCCATCACCTCAACCATCCTATGGGAGGGGAGAAGGACTAGCATCCCCATCCAAAGCTGGACGGTGGGGGAGGTAGGTTGGGCTTCCTTTCCCTTCCTCAGGTTTTCATGGTCTCTAGCTTCTCAGAATCACAAAAAGAACCAAGAAGACCATGGGCCGGGAGTGGTGGCTCACACCTGTAATCCCAGCACTTTGGGAGGCCGAGGCGGGCGGATCATGAGGTCAGGAGATCGAGACCATCCTGGCTAACACGGTGAAACCCCGTCTCTACTAAAAATGCAAAAAATTAGCCAGATGTGGTGGCAGGTGCCTGTAGTCCCAGCTACTCAGGAGACTAAGGCAGGAGAATGGGGTGAACCCGGGAGGCGGAGCTTGCAGTGAACCGAGATCGCACCACTGCACTCCAGCCTGGGCAACAGAGCGAGACCCTGTCTCAAAAAAAAAAAAAAAAGAAGAAGAACCAAGAAGGCCTTTGTGCTCCTGTTCCACTAGACCAAGTAGAGTCTTCCCCACCCACAACTTCATTTCCTTTCTCCATCGCTCCATCTCCAACGTGGGTCCCTGGCAGCCCACTGCCCCCACCCCAGAGATGAGTCGCCAGTGCCATGCCCTGCAGGAGGATATGCAATCCCACAGCAAGCAGCTGGAGGAAGAAGTCAAGGGCCTTCGGGGGCAGCTAGGTAGGTTTCCCCACCCCCCAAGCCCCTTGTCTCCAAGAGGTGCAGCAAGGGCCAGCATGAAGGAGCAGACTTCAAAGTCTCTACTCCAGAAAGCTGCCACCTGGGCTCTGGGATCACTTTCCCCACTTTCACTGACCCTCCACCACCGAGGACTGGAGCAGAGGGTTCGGGATGCCAAGAATCTCTGTTGTAAGTAAAGAAGAGGCACCAGGCGCAGTGGCTCAGGCCTGTAATCCCAGCACTATTGGAGGCCAAGGCGGGCGGATCACCGAAAGTCAGGAGTTCAAGAACAGCCTGGCCAAATGGCAAAACCCCGTCTCTACTAAAAATATAAAAATTAGCCAGATGTGGTGGCGCACACCTGTAATCCCAGCTACTCAGGAGGCTGAGGCAGGAGAATTGCTTGAATCCGGGAGGCAGAGGTTGCAGTGAGCCGAGATCGCGCCATTGCACTCCAGCCTGGGCGACAGAGCAACTCTGTCTCAAAAAAATAAATAAAAATAAAAAAGAAGAGGTAGGCGTCACACCCCATTTCCTCCTCTCCAAGTCCAGCCCTACCTAACTCCCCACCACTGCCATGTCTCTTGTGAGCAAAACATATTCCCTTTTAGTTTAGCTGATTTCTACAACGAAACCAAGGGAAAATGTTTGACTTATTTACTTCTATATCTTCAAGACCTAGCACCCGGTAGGTCCTAAATAACTGTTCACCAAATAAATGAATAAACACTCCCAATAAGCAAAAATATTTTTAAAAACTAGGAAGCCTTTGCTTCACTTCTCTTGCCTCCTACTTACGAAATAATGTTGAAATATCTCAGCATGACACATGAGCTCTTGCACAATTTTGGTCTCAAAGTGTTCATACCTTAAAACGCCTTCAGCCGGGCTCGGTGGCTCACCCCTGTAATCCCAGCATTTTGGGAGGCCAAGGCGAGAGGATTGCTTGAGGCCAGGAGTTCGAGACCAGCCTGGCCAATATGGTGAAATGCTGTCTCTACTAAAATTACAAAAATTAGCCGGGCATGGTGGCGTGTGCCTGTAATCTCAGATACTTGGGAGGCTGAGTCAGAAGAATCACTTGAATCCAGGACGCGGAGGCTGCAGTGAGCCGACATCACACTACTGCACTCCAGCCTGGGTGACAGAGTAAGACTCCGACCAAAAAAAAAAAAAAAGCCTTCGGTTTAGCTATAGATGGCCAGGAGCTGCTTATCTGCCATTCAGACCCTGGGTTCCTTTCCTAATCTTTGCTTTACCTCAAATTCCAAGTCAATCAATAACTCAATTGTTTTTGTTTTTGTTGTTACTGTTTTTTGGTTTGTTTGTTTTTTTGTTTTTTTGTTTTGAGACGCAGTTTCATTCTGGTTGCTCAGGCTGGAGTGCAATGGCGCAATCTTGGCTCACAGCAACCTCTGCCTCCCAGGTTCAAGCAATTCTCCTGCCTCAGCCTCCCGAGTAGTTGGGATTACAGATGTGTGCCACCATGCCTGGCTAATTTTTGTACTTTTAGTAGAGATGGGAGTTTCACCATGTTGGCCAGGACTCCTGATCTCAGGTAATCCGCCCTCCCCGGCCTCCCATAGTGCTAGGATTACAGGCGTGAGCCACCACACCCGGCCAATGAATCAATGTTTACTGAGCACTTCCTGTATACTAGCTAGGTGCTTTGTCATCCATTATCGTGTTCAAAGGTCACAGCATACCCCTGAGAGATGTGTCATTCTCTCTTTAAAGATGAAGACACCAGCTAGCTGCGGTGGCTCACGCCTATAATCCCAGCACTCTGGGAGGCTGAGGTGGGCGGATCACGAGGTCAAGAGATAGCTGACCATCCTGGCCAACATGGTGAAACCCCATCTCTACTAAAAATTTAAAAATTAGCTGGGCGTGGTGGCATGTGCCTGTAGTCCCAGCTACTCAGGAGGCTGAGGCAGGAGAATTGCTTGAACCCAGGAGGCGGCGGTTGCAGTGAACCGAGATCATGCCACTGCACTCCAGTCTGGCGACAGAGTGAGACTCCATCTAAATAAATAAATAAATAAATAAATAAATAAATAAATAAAAAGATGAAGACACTGAGGCTCAGAAAGAGACATGTCTGTGGTCACCTAGGTAGTAATCCGACTTTGGAGCCTTCTGTCTCAAGCCCACCATTCTCTGCTATACCTCAGTGGAGCTTCAGCTTTTACAGGGACTGCAGGAAAGTTGGTGATGCTGGGGGAGTCTGGAATGAGCCCATTCAAGGTCTCCTTTCCAGATACCTTTGGAGACTGGTTAAGGATAGAGTGTCACCATCCTGCTGTCTTTCATCCTGCCTGCCCCCAGAGGCATGCCAAAGGGAAGCTGCGGCTGCGCGGGAAGAGGCTGAACAAGCTCTAAGAGAGTGGGACCAGGCCCTGTCTCAGCTTCGGACCCACGTGGCAGACATGGAGGCAAAGTATGAGGAAATCTTACAGGTAAGCACCACCTCCTGGATCCTAGCTGTCCCAGTACCCAGGACTCCCCCATGCCCACAAACTCCAGCTAGTGTGATGACTGACAACCCAGGGGTAAGGAGAAGAAGTATCTCCAAGGGAGCCCTGCTCTATCCTGAGGGCAGAGAGGGGATACAACCATGTCTACTGGGCAAGGAAAGCTTACGAACCAACCTGAGGCAGCCCTCACTCCTTCCCTCTCTCTTCCTGGGGGCTGAAATATTGATGTCTGCAGGACAGTCTGGACAGGCTCTTGGCCAAGCTGAGAGCCATCAAGTCGCAGTGGGATGGGACGGCATTGAGACTCCATGCCAGGCACAAGGAGCAGCTATGCCAGTTTGGACTCACCGCCCTGGATCTTTGAGGCCACCAGCCCCTAGTCTCTAGTGTTCTCTGAGGCGCCAGCAATAAAGTGTCTTGATGTAGAACTCAGTAGAGCTGTGGGCTCTGGCCTTTTGGCAGAGAGAAGTGGATCTTTTTTATTTTTATTTTTATTTAGTTTTCTTCTTTTTTTGTTTTTTCTTTTGTTTTGTTTATTTTTAGGAGTGGCTCTCATGCAGACATCTCAGTTCTGGGTTGACCCATTATCCCTGAGACTCAGTGATAGGAAAGAAATTTGACCAGGTCTCACCTTCTCTCCTGCAGAAGCCGCATCCCACCCCTTGAGCCTGAGGCCCTTTTGGTCCCTTCACACCACTGCCCCTTACCCCCACCAACACAAACACAGGCAGTCAGATTTATGGGGAACAGCCACTTCTATAACAAATGCAACGGTGACCAAGCACCACCCTCCGGCAATGCTAAGGCACCCACAGAGGGCAGGCATAGCTGGTCTCCAAATTTTTGCATTACACTCAAGTGTCCTGGAGTCATATCTAGAAAAGGTCCAGATGGCTTCAATCCTAGCCAGACCCACAGCCACACCTTCATCCCTGGGACACAGCTCTCCAGACTCCCACGTAACATCCTCTGGAGCCTCAGACTCCTTCAGGAACCTGCCTGAGGCCTCCAACCACACCCTCTGCTAGAAGGTGGGCCTGCAGGAAGCAGGGGAACACCGGGGCCAGCCTGTGATCGGTGGTGCCTGAGTTCCTCCAGTCTGGCTTGGAGAGAGCAATCCTGCCTCCACCACCTCGGGCCGGAGAGTGAAGACACAGTAGCCCCTGAGTATGTCTGTACCGAGCAGTGGTGCTCTACAGCAGATCCGAGGCCAGAGCCCAGTCCTATGCAGAGAGAGGAGGTAGAAGATCATTCCAGGTGGCACCCAGAAGAGTTCCTTTTTCTTTCTCACCCCCGCCCTGCAATGCCTAGGAATGGGGCTTATTTCACGGGTCCTTCTGTCCCTACCTACCACAACCTGAAGTCCCAACCTGCATACCCCACACTGCTTCACCTAGTACCTCGCTCACTCTGCCTTTCTTTCTCACTCCTCCCTGCCCTTCTCTAACTACTCACAGTCCCATCCATTTCTTCTTCCTCACCTCTGCAGCCCCAGTGGGAATCCAGGCTTCCAAGCCCCGCAGAGACCTGGCTGCCAGCTTCAGGCAGAGGGGTGGCTCAGCCTCAGGCAGCTGCTGAAGCCTCTCCAGGTCATTCTCTCCCCCAACAGGATACCCGTTCACTTCCAGAATCACATCTCCCACTTGCAGCCCAGCCCGGGCAGCTGAGCCTCCGGGAGTCACCTGGTGGTGTGGGGGCATGCAGAACAGGGGACACCAGGGGAAAGTTTGCTGGCTTAAGGCTCTGGGAGGGAAGAAGAGGAAGACTGATCAGGCAGCAAAGGATTGAAGGGATCCAAGATGCATGGGGCGTCAGTCACCTGGGAGATGAAGAGACGAGGCCCACTGGCCACACAGCTGAGTCGGAAGCCATAGCCGCCACCAGGCCCAGGGTACAGAAAGCACTGTCGGGAGCCCAGAGGGACAGAAGGCACGCCTGTGTCTTCAAGCGAAGGGACCTCTGTCTCAACTAGTGAGGCTGAGCTGCTGCCCTGGGGAGAGGCGGGAGCCTCTGTGTTCTCCAAGAAGAGGAGTGGGGATAGGCGAACCTGGAAGGTGGCAGGTAGAGCAAATCTGTTGGACCCAAGCCCTGCTCCACTCCTGCCCCAACCCTAGCCCCTGCCCCTCAGCACGCACCATGCTGAAGAAGCGGTCAGCCTCAGGGTCGACGACAATGAGGGAGACACAGGAGCCTTGCGCCTGGATCCTGGACACTGTCTCCTCATGGCCCAGCCCCTCCACGCTCTCCCCAGCCACAGCCACCAGCCGGTCCCCAGCCTGCATCCCAGCCTTCTTGGCTGGCAGTCCCGGGTCCACCTCCCACAGGAACTGTCCTGGGGCATACACATCCTCACTGCTCCTCTCCAGCTATCCTAGGCCACTGTGTGCACACCAGGGGACTGACCCCGGAGTGAACAGGAAGAGGCGGCCCAGAGCCAGAGCTCAGACAGGGACACCTCTTCTGTGCACTGAAAGGTGTATATACACTTGTGTGCCCACCCCAAGGCCCACCTTCCTCCACCACCCCCAGGGCTCCCACTCACCAGGGCGACCGTCAGGGCCCTTTTCCTCCCGGAGCAGGAACCCAAAACCCTGGGGCCCTTTCTCTAGGTGCAGACAGCGGGGCTTGGTCGGCAGTGCCCAGCCCTCTGCCAGGGGTGCAGCCAGGGGCAATCCCAGCTGGCGACACTGTTCCTCCACCTCTGGCCCTGCCACCAGCAAGGTCACCTGCTGTCCACTCTGCCAAAGCTGTGGGGACCCAGCAGGGCATCAGTATAACACCTGGGCAGGGAGAGAAGATGCATGCTCCCCCCACAGCCCCTCCTCCCAGGCACTAAGTGGAGCCTGGCACAAACTGTAGAGGGGCAGGATGGTGATCAAGGTAGGAGACCAGATAAGGAGGTTAGGTGCATAGGGCAGGAGGCGTCTTCCCGAGGTGGGGCCCAGGCCCAGACTGGGGGAGGAGAGTGGGAGACAGGCAGCCACACCTTCCTGGTGAGTTGGTTGTGAGTGAGCTTCTCCACACTGACCCCATTCACTTCCAGCAGTCGGGCCCCGGGGGGCACCCCTGCCCGCTCAGCTGCTCCTCCAGTACTTAGCACCAACCAGAAAGGACCCTGATTGCCTAGAAATCAAAAAAAAAAAAAAAAAGCAAGTTCCAGTCTGTTGCCTGCCTGCCCTGAACAGGGACTGAAATCCCTCATCCTTGCCACCCCCTCGCACCCTCTGGGCTCACCATGGGTGACGCCGAAGCCAAAACCACCCTCATCTTTCACTATGTGGCACAGCCGGGGCCGGACCCCTGGGCCTAGGGTGGGACAGAGGTGGGCATCTTCTCCCAGCTGAGCTCGGGCCACGTCATGTGCATGCCGTGCCAAGACTGTCAGCAACACCCGAGGACTGCTGGCCCGGATGCGGCGTACCACCTGGACAGAGGGCACGTGGGCGTGGGTTTGGTCTAGACCCTGTTGCCAACCCCCAGGACCTCCCTGGAATCCACATTTTTTTGCCATGGGAATAGGCTTTTTTTCTTTTTTTTCTTTTCTTTTCTTTTCTTTTTTTTTTTTTTTTTGAGATGGAGTTTCGCTCTTGTTGCCCAGGCTGGAGTGCAATGGCACGATCTCGGCTCACTGCAACCTCCACCTCCCAGGTTCAAGTGATTCTCCTGCCTCAGCCTCCCGAGTAGCTGTGAGTACAGGCGCCACCACCATGCTCAGCTAATTGCTGTATTTTTAGTAGAGACAAGTTCTTGCCATGTTGCCCAGGCTGGCCTTAAACTCCTGACCTTGGGTGATCCACCTGCCTCGGCCTCCCAAAGTGCTGGGATTACAGGCATGAGCCACTGCGCCCAGCGGGAATCAGCTTTCTAGATGCCTTCCCCAACCCCTCTGACTTGGGCACTCCTAAATCCTGGGGTGTGGGGGAGTGAGGCTTGTGCCCTGCTGCCATAGTGCCCAGGGGACTGAGCAACCCACTTCTCTTTCTGAGGTGCTAGCATGCTCTCCCGGACCACAGCCTTACCACCGCGTAGTCTTCATGTTCCACAACATCGTTGTTCACCGCCAGGATCCTGTCTCCTTCCTGAAGACCCTGGCGCTGGGCAGAGGTGCCTGGGTCCACCCTGCACACCACATGCCCAGCCCTGCCCAGCTCCTGCTGCAGGTGGAAGCCAAAACTCTTGCCCTTCTCTTTGCTCAGCAAGCAGAAGCGAGGCCGCTCCAGGCTCCAGGGATCTGGAGGGTGAGGTGGGCAGCAGAAAAGGGGGAGGAGAGGGCACAGCCCAAGTACAGGTTCGCCATGTGCCTGGCAGACCCTCTGTCCTGATACAAGCAGTTTCTGCCTGGTTGGGTGTTGGGTGGTGGGATGAACACTTCATGGGCAGAGGGACTGGGACAGAATATGCCTGGCCCCTCCTATCTCTACTCCCAACTGAGGCTGTTATCAGAGTGAGACCGAGTGAGTGGTTACCAAGGAGATGGGCGGCTGTGTGGAGTTGTGGTGCCTCCAGGGAAAGGGAATGGTTGCCAGTGGGTGAGGGAGTTACCAGAGGGGTCGTAGTCTTCGGCCAGTGAGAGGACAGGGTTATCAATGCCCAGTTTTGGGTTAAACTTAAACTTCCTGCAAGGAGGCAGGGGAAGCAGGTACAAGCTGGCAGCTGGACTTGGGTCCCAGGATCTCCTTTAGGTGCTAATGGCAGTGAAGCCTCCGATTCTTTCTTCCCTGCCTCCGATTCTTCCCCTTGCCCCAACCCTCACGGCACTTACAGAGTTAACGAGGCTGTGTCCTGTAGGTCTACTGGGCAAAGAAGTGGGTGAGAGGAGGAGAGTCACATTCTTCTCCCCAGATGTGCCTCTTCCATTGGCATAAACTAAAAGGACTCAGGGGAACCCCCAAACTCAGGGCATGCCCCCTCCATTCTGCTCCAAAAGGGTCTTCTCTTCTCACTGCCATACACACAGAAATATTGTGCGGTCCTCTCCCTTCCCCTCCCCCCAAGCCCTTGGCACATAAATCTGAGCATATCAGTACAGGGTGTGGACCAGGAAGACAGACATATCAACTCACTACTTTTCTCCTGACTTGTTTACCTGCCTCAGGGCTCCAAGCCCCAAAATCAAGTGTGCCCTGGTCCCAAAGCTTCAGCCTCCAAGTTGGCCCCCTGCCTGTCCCAAAGTCCCCTGCAGAGGATTTCTCCTGGCCTCCTACCTGCAGCTTTCTCCATAGCTGGATCAGCAACCCAGTGCTGGGGTAGGGACAAGGTTCATCACAGCCACTGACCCTCCCACCCATCCCCTCCCAGGTCCCGCCTCCTTGAAGACGCTGTGGAAGCAGTGGGGTAATGGTTAACGGCAGTGAGAGTCTTTTTTTTTTTTTTTTTTGAGATGGAGATTAGCTCTTGTTGCCCAAGCTGGAGTGCAATGGCACAATCTTGGCTCATCACAACCTCTGCCTCCCAGGTTCAAGCAATTCTCCTGCCTCAGCCTCCCCAGTAGCTGGGATTACAGGCATGTGCTACCATACCCTGCTAATTTAGTATTTTTAATAGAGGTGGGGTTTCTCCATATTGGTCAGGCTGGTCTCAAACTCCCAACCTCAGGTGATCTGCCCGCCTCGGCCTCCCAAAGTGCTGGGATTACAGGCGTGAGCCACCATGCTCCGCTTAGTCTTATTCTCTGGGAAAGTGTGTGGGTTCATCCTGACTCTGTCCTGGGCCCGAGATTTTTCTGGAGACCCTGAATCTGACCCCGTTGCCCCTCTGTGCAGAGAAAGGCAGATTGCTGGTCACTAACTCCAAGCCTGGGGGGTAAGTGTGAAAAGGGTAATAAGAATTCTATGGCCCATGGTATGGTTTGGCTGTGTCCCTACCCAAATCTCATCTTGAATTGCAGCTCCCATAACTCCCTCGTGTCATGGGAGGTACCCGGTGGGAGGTAATTGAATCACAGGGGCAGGTTTTCCCGTGCTGTTTTCACGAGAGTGAATAAGTCTCATGAGATCTGATGGTTTTATAAAGGGGAGTTCCCCAGCACACACTCTCTTGCCTGCTGCCATGTAAGATGTGACTTTGCTCCTCATGTGCCTTCTGCCACAATTGTGAGGCCTCCCCAGCCATGTGGAACTGTGAGTCAATTAAACCTCTTTCCTTTATAATTTTTTTTTCTTTTTCTTTTCTTTTCTTTTTTTTTTTTTTTGACAGAGGTTCACTCTTGTTTCCCAGGCTGGAGTGCAGTGGCGCTATCTCAGCTCACTGCAACCTCCACCTCCTGGGTTCAAGCGATTCTCTTGCTTTAGCCTCTCGAGTAGCAGGGATTACAGGCATGCACCACCACACCCAGCTAATTTTGTATTTTTAGTAGGGACAAGGTTTCTCCATGTTGGTCAGGCTGGTCTCAAACTCCTAACCTCAGGTGATCCGCCCACCTCAGCCTCCCAAAGTGCTGGGATTATGGGCGTGAGCCACCATGCCCAGCCTCCTTTATAAATTACTTACCCCGTCTTGTGTACGTCTTCATTAGCAGTGTGAGATCAGAATAATACAGTCCAGCATGGCCAAACCCCATGCCAGTATCTTGTTCATGGGCCCCTCCAGCCTCCACTGCCTCTGAACCTAGTGCCCAAGAACCACGTGCAATAGATCATGGTTGGTAGTTTAACCAGAAAGACCAAGAAGAGTGCCCTTCCTGGAAGCACCAGGAAATAAAGAAGAGGTCACAATCGGTGGAAGGCACACAGCTTTTTAATAGCAGCAAGTCAGGTGCATCTGCCTCGAGGGGCCACCAAGCCATCGTATCACTGTGGCAAAGGGGGCATGAGGATGAGGAGAAAGCACCAATGCGAGGGCACCCTCAGTGTCCACAGGTGAGCATAAGTCATGAGGGGAAGTTTCCAGCACATCTGGATGGCAACACCCCTGGCATGGCAGACATAAGATGTGAGCCCCTTGGTGGCACAATCAGAGGCTCCTTGAGAGGAGGGGGAGGCAAGGTTGGTGGTGGTGCTTCAGGGCACTCTGGCCATCCAAATGCCACATGCTTTGGTCCTTCTTGATGAATGGAGAGGAGGCATGTTCCATCTCCAAGCCCGAAGCATTGATTCACCATCTTTAACTTGGAGATTCCAGACTCGGTCCTGATCGAACATGCCCTAGGAGGGCAACTGGCACAGCTGTGCGCATTCCTTTGCCCCCAGACCTGAAGGAATCTTTCTAGGGGGAGCAGTGCAAGCCAGGAGGCCACAGAGGGAAGAGGTTTAGGGCCAGTGGTCACATAGGTGCCTGCCGCCAGTGTCTCAGCTTCCAGAGCCTCCCAGCTGCTCTAGGAGGCCCCTCACCTCGCCCTCCACTCGCAGCAGCTGGGCCTTGCGCCAAGGATTAAGGGTAGCACCCCGGCTATCTTCCAGATCCCGCAGGAGGAGCTCAAGGTGTCGCTGGACCCGGGCCCGGTCCCAGCTGTTGAGGTTCCGCTGGACTTCACTGAGGATCACTGACCAGTATTCCGACACTGCCGTCCCCTCTGTCAGTGACACCACCACCCGGGCACCACCTTCAGCAGCACCCCCCAAGTCTCGCAAGACCTGGCGGCCCTCTGAGCTCAGCTCATTGAAGTAGAGGCTGGCAGGAGAGAGAAAGTCGATGCCATTCAGTAGAGCTCTGAGAAGGAGGGCCCGAGGGTAGACAGATGGAAAGCAGGGGGCCTCACATCTCATCTCCTGGCTGCAGAGTGCGATCAGGTTAAGTATCTGCAATGAGCCAGAGATGGAGGGTGCTGGCCAGTGGGAGGCAGGGACTAGTATTAAAATTCTTTTTTTTTTTTTTTTTTTTTGAGACGGAGTCTCGCTCTGTCACCCAGGCTGGAGTGCAGTGGCATGATCTCGGCTTACCGCAACCTCCACCTCCCGGGTTCAAGCGATTCTCCTGCCTCAGCCTCCCAAGCAGCTGGGATTACAGGTGCACACCAACATGCCCAGATAATTTTTGTATGTTTAGTAGAGACAGGGTTTCACCATGTTGACCAGGCTGGTCTTGAACTCCTGACCTCAGGTGACGCACCCGCCTCGGCCTCCCAAAGTGCTGGGATTACAGACATGAGCCACCACACCCAATCCTGATACTAGAATTCAGTGGGACCAGGGACAGTAGGCCTTTAGGAGAAATGGTGGTAGGGAACTGGGGCAGTTTAAGGGCCAGTCACAGAGTGGGTGGGTTGACTCAGAGCTAGGTTGACAAGGATCAGTCAGAAACCAGGAGTAGAGGACAGGCGACAGGCCCAGGCCCAGAAGCACTCCCTAGGATTCGAAGAGCACAGTCGAGAGATGGAAGTAGTCTGAAGGGCTAGGGGCAATGGGACCAGGGACAGGACTCACTGCAGCAGTTCCAGGGAAGGGTGCTCCCGGGCAGCTCTGGCCAGGGCCAGGGCCGCTGTGTCACCAGCACCATTGTAAGCCACGTTCAGCTCCTGCAGCTGCCGGTTGCGATCCAGCTGGGCAGCCAGCAGCTCCAGACCTTCGTCCCCAAGGCCAGTGTGCAGCAGGGACAGGTGTGTCACTGAGGTGTTTCCTGCCAGCCCCTCCATCAACAGGGCAACACCTGCCGCCATCAGCGGGTTGTTGGACAGCCTACGGCCACGTGCAACCCAAGGTTATGAGGGCCCATTGAGAGGAGGGGGAGGCAAGGTTGCTGGTGGTGCTGGCAGCCTTGATGGGGCAGCACTGTGCTGGGTGTCAGGATGTGGGCCAAAGAGGGCCCTGCTTGGGGCAAGAGGAGCCTGGACATAGAAATGCAGGCCCAGGAGAAAGGGTAGAGCAATAGGGGGTGTGGTGCCTGGCAGACGAGGGAGAGTAGGGGAGCTGGCCTTTCCTTCCCTCTTTCCTTGACCCCCTTATCTATTCCCTTCCTCTTCACCATTTCTGTTTCCCTTCTTCTGCCTTTTTCACCCCCTCCACAGCCTCTGCTTCTCCCTTCCCTCTGACTCCTGTATCCTTCTCCCTGTTCTTCCTTTTTCTCTCCTCATTTGCCTCCCCTTACACCAACCAGAAACTCGGAAACCAGGTGCTCGGGTTCCCCACGTATCAGTCAACACTTCAGGGGTGTCTACTGAGTGCCCAGCATTAGGGTCATCCTCAGGAAGCTGCAGGAAAAATCCTGGAAGGGGATCAGTGGCACTGTTACCAGGCAACTGGCCGAGGTATTATTCCACCCTCTCGCCCTGCCTCCTCCAGGCTGATTTTAGCCACGTGAGAGGTTTCTTAGCACCCATTACTGGTGGCATCTTTCCCTGCTGCCCTGCTGCTTGCAGTGGACCTGGGGGAAGTGGAGGGGACCAGTCAGGGCCTAGACCCGCCTCCATTTACTATCCCTTGGGTGGGCCTGTGCCAAGTATGCCAGGAGGCAGGGAGCTCACCCTTGACCTTAGCTGGCCACCAGGATGTCCCACTCCCAGGGCACTCACCGCAGTGTGGTAATTTGGCACTGGTCATGTAGCAGCAGGTCTCGGAGGTCCTTGCAGGCCTCAGGGCCCAGGCTGTTGAGTTGCAAGCTGGAGCAGAAGGTGGCCAGAGGGGAGGTGAGAGACCAGGGAGGGAATTCAGCAAGTAGTCTGTCCATCTACCATGACCTTTTTTCATCAGCCTGCCTCTGGGAATCCATACCTGCCTCCCCTTTTTTGAGAGACAGGGTCTCACTCTGTCACCCAGGTTGGAGCACAATGGCATGATCACAACTCACTGCAGCTTCAGACACCTGGGCTCAAGCAATCCTCCCACCTCAGCCTCCTGAGTAGCTGGGACGATAGCCACGTGCCACCACACCTGACTAATTTTTAAATTCTTTTGTAGAGACAGGGTCTTGCTGTGCTGCCCAGGATGGTCTCAAACTACTAGGCTCAAGTGATGCTTCTGCCTTGTCTTCCCAAAGCAGTGGGATTACAAGCAGAAGCCACCACGGCTGGCTCCTCCCTTCTGCTGCTCCTGTCTCCTCCGCCCAAACTAGATTTCTTCATTTGGTCACTCGTCAGTACCTCTGGTTTCCCTGGCACTTTCTCTTCCCACTGCTTCACCTCCAACCCTCTTCATGCCTGTGCATGAGGATAGGTCCTCACCCCAGTTTCCGGGCACGCAGGAAGACAGGCATGAGTGTGCGCAGCCCAGCAGGGTCTAGCTGGCAGGAGGCCAAATTCACCTCATCCAGGGCATGCCTTCCACTGCCCAGCACAGACGCCACCACTGTGCACTTGACGGGTGTCATACGCACACCTGCCAAGTTGAGCTGACGAAGGGAGCTGAGCACCTCGGCAGAGAAGCGCTGGTTCTGGAACTCGTAGTGGAAGAAGAGGTGGTCAAGGAGCTCCGACGGGGGTAGCACCTGCCGGCCCAGCTTGCCCAGCTTCTTCTTGATGGCCTGGGCATTCTCCAGGGCATCCAGGTTCTTGATGGGGCAGCCAAGTTGAGCTAGCACAGCTCGGTTGTGGGCAGAGAGAAGCCCCCCCATGAATATGGGGAAGAGCTCGAAGACTTCATCCTCAGGAGGCTCATCTGGGTGGCGCCGGGGGCCCTCCACGCCTAGGATACTGGCGCCCATCTGGTCCAGAACATCATCATTGTAATAGTCCTCCTCTCGGAACATCTCCAGCACCATGGCCTGGGCCACCGCCTCCCGGCTTTTACCCACCATGCGTCCAAACACTCGTGGAACCACCTGAAAAAGAAGAAAGGGGAGGGTCACTGTGGCCTTCCACGTGCCTGTTCAGCCTTCAAGGCTCAGCTTAAGGTACACCCCGTGACTGCTCCAGCCCTGTGGTCTCCCCGTGAACTTAGCATAACTTGTCTGATCATGCTACTCCTCTGCTGCGACACCTTCCACTGCCTATGTGGCAAACTCCAAACATTTAGCCTGGAATATGAAATGATTTTTAAAACTAGAGATGGGGTCTTGCTGTGTCACCTAAGCTGGTCTTGAACTCCTGGGCTCCCTAGCCTAGGCCCCCAAAGTGCTAGGATTATAGGCTTAAGCCACTGCAGCCGGCCCAAAACTTTTAATAATTTGGCCCTAATTTGACTTTCCCAGGGTCATATCTCAACACCTGTCTCATGTGCCGCAGACATTAGGAACTTCTTTCTCTTTCCCAAACACCCTGATACATTTTCAAAGGTGAGAAGGAATTAGCATGTATTACACACTTAGTTTGGGACCGGGCTAGGTGTCACAAATACATCACCATCTTCAACATCATTGTTGTCTCAGCAGCTACGATTGATGCAGCTCCTACTGCTTTAAGGTCTTGTGTGATCTGGGCCCTGCCGACTACAATGCCTTCATCACAAGCCTCTTGGCCCCACTCACTATGCTCCTGCCTTTTTGGCTTTTTTCATCTTAACAGCGCCAAGGTCTTTCCTCCTTCAAAGCCTCCATAGGCCTGGTGCAGTGGCTCATGCCTGTAATCCCAGCACTTAGGGAGGTCGAGGCAGGAGGATCACTTGAGCCTGGGAGTTCTAGACCAGCCTGGCCAATGTAGCCAGACACTATCTCTATCGAAAAAAAAATTTTTTTTTTTGAGACAGAGTTTCGCTCTGTCACCCAGGCTGGAGTGCAGTGGCGCAATCTCTGCTCACTGCAAGCTCCGCCTCCTGGGTTCACGCCATTCTCCTAACTCAGCCTCCTGAGCAGCTGGGACTACAGGCGCCCGCCACCATGCCCAGCTAAGTTTTTGTATTTTTAGTGGAGACAGGGTTTCACCGTGTTAGCCAGAATGGTCTCGACCTCCTGACCTCATGATCTACCCACCTCGGCCTCCCAAAGTGCTGGGATTATAGGCGTGAGCCACTGCACCCGGCAAAAAAATTTTTTTAATAAAAAAGAAAATTAGCCAGGCATGGTGGCATGTGCCTGTAGTCCCTTCAGCACTGGAGGTCGGGGATGCAGTGAGCTGAGATCACACCACTGAACTCCAGCCTGGGCAACAGAGCAAGACCCTGTCTCAGAGAAAAATAAAAAAATCCTCCAGGGTGCTGCCCCTTGCTGGGGCATTTCCCCCCCACTTCTTCCCTTGGCTAATGCTACAAGGGTCAGATGACATGCCCTTCCACAAAGAGACTCTCCTGACCCCTCAAACCAGTTCCCCCACTACACACTTTCATGCCATCTGGGGCTCCTTTCCAGGCATTTGCCGTAATTTTTCCTTATATGGTTACATCGATATTTTTGTGCTGAAACTGTGCAGGAAGCAGCAGTTTCCTTCTGGGAGAGGAGCTCCGACTAGATCAGAAAGGGCAGAAGCCTGTCGTTTCCTCAGATTCTAACACACTGCCTGGCACACAGCAGGTACTCAAATATCTGACAAAGAAATAAATGTTGGGGGTTTGTGGTATCTTCCCCCATCCCTGCAATGGTAGTGAAAGGGAGGAAGGGTCATTCCTCTGGCAACAAACCATGACATTGTTTTGTAGCACCTCCTTTAACGTCTGGGTTTTTTTTTCACTTTTTGATTTTTTATTTGTTTAGAGACAGGGTCTTGCTATGTCACCCAGGCTGGAGTGCAGTGGTGTGATCCTAGCTCACTGCAGTCTTTAACTCTTGGGCTCAAGTGATTCTCCTGCCTTGGCCTCCTGAGAGCTGTGACTACAGGTGTGCACCACTGCACCTGGCTATGTTTCATGTTTACATGTGAGGTTCCTTTCATAGAGGTGATAGTACCCCTTCTCCAACACTAACCTGTGACAGAATATATCACCCTGTGAAGCTGAATCCACAGGATTGTGAATAAACAGATGGGCTCAGTGCTCTGCCAGGGCAGGCCTCCCTCCAAGAGGGCTTGGGGGTGTGGGGCTGACAATTCTTGTGGGTTTTCAATAACTGGGGGCTTTCTGAATCCCCTCGGGAGACTGCAGCCTCTCATTGCAACTCAGGTCCAGCAGGCACATCCTCAAGGCGGGGGTGGCCTCAGCAGCAGCTGTGACCTCCTATCAGAGGTGATGGTGTAAGAAGGAGTGGGCTGCACGAGCCTGTTTCTTTTCTTTCTTTTTTTTTTTGAGACAGAGTATCGCTGTGTCACCTAGACTGGAGTACAGTGGCACGATCTCAGCTCACTGCAACCTCCATTTCCTGGGCTCAAGAGATTCTCCTGCCTCAGCCTCCCAAGTAGCTGGGATTACAGACACGTGCCACCACACCCAGCTAATTTTTGTATTTTTAGTAGAAATGGGGCTTCACCATGTTGTCCAGGCTGGTCTCAAACTAAGTTTGTTTCTATGTGTGACAAACAAACAGCCTAGGCCGGGCATGGTGGCTCACTCCTGTAATCCCGCACTTTGGGAGGCTGAGGTGGGTGGATCACCTGAAGTCAGGAGTTCAAGACCAGTCTGGCCAACATGGTGAAACCCTGTCTCTACTAAAAATACAAAAATTAGCCAGGCATGGTGGCAGGTGCCTGTAGTCCCAGCTACTCGGGAGGCTGAGCCGGAAGAATCACTTAAACCAAGGAGGCAGAGGTTGCAGTGAGCAGAGATGGTGCCACTGCACTCCAGCCTGGGCGACAGAGTGAGACTCCATCTCAAAAAAACAGAAGCAAAAAAAAAAAAAGCAATTAAACAGCACTTACCATGTGCCAGACCCTGAGGATGAGTTCCTTTAATCTTCATGTTAGGCCAGTGATATAAGTTCTAGTATTATCTCCATTTCACAGATGAGGAATCTGAGGCACAGAGTTAAGTAGCCTGTCTAAGATCTCACAGCTAATTAAGTAGCAGAGCCTGGATCTGAACTCAAATAGCTGAGTTACCAAATTCCTGTGCTTAGTCCTTATGCTTTGGTGCCTATAAAAAGAAAAAGGTGGCTGGGAACACTGGTTCACACCTGTAGCCCAGCACTTTGGGAGGCCAAAGTGAGAGGATCACTAATGAGACACCATCTCTACAAAATTAAACAATTTTTATTTTTTAATTTAATTTAATTTTATTATTTTTTTTTTATTTTTGAGAGGGAGTCTCACTCTGTCACTCAGGCTAGAGTGCAGTGGCGCAATCTTGGCTCACTGCAACCTCCGCCTCCCAGGTTCAAGCAATTCTTCCGCCTCAGCCTCCCAAGTGGCTGGGATTACAGGCACCCGGCACCACACTTGGCTAACCATGTTGACCAGGTTGGTCTCAAACTCCTGATCTCAGGTGATCCACCTGCCTCACCTCCCAAAGTGCTGGGATTATAGGCGTGAGCCACTGCACCCGGCTACAAAATTAAAATTTTTAAAAATTAGCCGGGGATGGTGGCACATGCCTGAGGTGACAGCTACTCAGTGAAGTTGAGGTGGGAGGATGGCTTGAGCCCATGAGGTTGAAGCTGCAGTGAGCTATGATTGCACCACTGCACTCTAGCCTGAGCAACAGAGTAAGACTCTGTCTCAAAAAATAAAAATACATTTAAATTTTTTTTTAAAGTGTTGAAATTCTGCCAGCACTAATCAGCACTCTGCCTCCTCAAAATCGGTTGCTGAAACAACCTAGAGAAAACAAAGGTTACCTAGCAAGTTCCCACAGCTTGACAGAAATATCCATAATGCACCAGTATAGTTTGGCAAAAAGAGCACAGGATTCAGAATCACAAAGCCCTGAGCTCCTATCCCAGCTTTTTAAACTTACTATTTGAGTGATTTTGGACAAGTTACTTTACCTCTTGAGCCTCAGTTTATTCCTCTGTAAAAGGGATCATAACAGTACTTCCAGGCCGGGCACGGTGGCTCATACCTGTAATCCCAGCACTTTGGAAGGCCGAGGCAGGTGGATCACCTGAAGTCAGGAGTTCAAGACCAGCCCAACCAACATGATGAAACTCTGTCTCTACTAAAAATAAAAAAGTTAGCCGGGTGTGGTGGCGCACATCTGTAATCCCAGCTACTCAGGAGGCTGAGACAGGAAAATCGCTTGAACCTGGGAGGCGGAGGTTACAGTGAGCTGACATCGCGCCGTTGCACCCCAGCCTGGGCAACAAGAGTGAAACTCCTTCTCAAAAAAAAAAAAGGCCGGGCGCGGTGGCTCAAGCCTGTAATCCCAGCACTTTGGGAGGCCAAGACGGGTGGATCACGAGGTCAGGAGATCGAGACCATCCTGGCTAACACGGTGAAACCCCGTCTCTACTTAAAAATACAAAAAACTAGCCGGGTGAGGTGGTGGGCACCTGTAGTCCCAGCTACTCGAGAGGCTGAGGCAGGAGAATGGCGTGAACCCGGGAGGCGGAGCTTGCAGTGAGCTGAGATCCGGCCACTGCACTCCAGCCTGGGTGACAGAGCGAGGCTCTGTCTCAAAAAAAAAAAAAAAAAAAAAAATAGTATTTCCTTTCCAGGAGTGATGTGAAAAACAAAAGGATGAACACTGATAAAGCGCCTGGCACACATCACACACACAGTGGCTCCTTCCAGCCCTCAAAGACTTCGTTCAGCTGTGCCGCTCACAGCACAGTCCTCAAGTCTATAATTTGGTTTCTGGAGTGGACCTGCCCTCAGGATGACTCCCCTAAGCCAATTACCAATGCCATTCATCTTCCTAGTATAAATGAATAAAATGGCATCTGCTTTATAAACCTGTCCCTGGTGATTTAGTTAGGATGAGTCATCACTCTCAGAGCCTAATCACCTCTGGAGGAACAGACACAATCGAGTTTCTGGGCCTGCAAAGCAGAGGACAGGCCTGCCTCCTAGGAGGAAAGACACAAAAAAGAAACCATTTTTAGGAATCCATGTAGGATTGTTATTAAAGTCCCTATGTCCCCAGATTCCCCTCCCCAGCCACCAAGCCTTCCCCAGCCTTGTGGCTTCTCTCTAAGCAATCCCACCAAAAGCCAAAATGCCCAGAGCTGAAACCAGATCCAGGAAGAAGATTCATACCTGTGCAGGAAGCAGCAGTTTCCTGCTGGGAGAGGAGCAAGGGGTGAACAGGGAACCATGTGGGGGCATGGGCAGCTTGGGGTGCTGGGGAGGGAAGAAGCAGGTGGGGGTCTCAGGCATGTTACCTTGATCAGGTTGAAGAGCAGAGGCAGAGCCCGCAGAGGCAGCAGCTTGGCCATGATGCCCAGTACCAGGCTGACGTCCTCCCCTACACGGCCCACGAGCTCAGCCACTTCCTTGCCCACCTTTTGCAGGGTCGTCTTGCGCAAACCCAGCACAATGTAGAGGGCGGCCAGGTATTCCTGCATGGCAGGCACGGTGAACACGAAGGTTCCCGCGCGCCCCGGCTCCACACATGGGGCCAGGAAAAACCTCAGGGCATCCCGGCGGAAGACGTGCAGCAGCTGAAACTCCTCCTCCGTCTTGATGCCAGCCTCCAGGCAGCCACAGACATCCTCTTCAGAGAAGTAGGTCTTGCGGGAGGACACCCCCTCATAGGCCAACTTGCCCATGGTTCGGGCTGCATAGGCCATCAGGGACAAATTGGAGGCGTCAGTGCTGTCCAGGGTTTCCCCGCTGAAGTTGAGGCGCAGGAAGCTGGTGTAGATACTTGTAAGGGTCTGCCCAGCAGGCGTGGGGGCATGCAGGAAGTGCAAAGTGGCACAGACGAGCCAGCAATAGGACGGCAGGAAACAGGCAGCGGCGATCTGGTGGTGCCCCTCCAGGTTCCGGGAGAGCATCTGCACCAGGTTGTCACGCTGAGCTGGTGCGGCGGAGACACCTGAACCGCACCCGCAGTCCGGCTGGTTGAGGCGGAGCTGGAAGTAGAGCTTCTGCAGGTTGGTATCAGAGAAACCACAGATCTCACCATAGCGGCCCACGTACTTGCTGGGGATACGGCCAATGGCAGAGGGCCGAGTGGTCACTAGAATGCTGGCCTGGGAAGATCATGGTTGAAAGTTAAGAAAGACCTTAGTGTCCTGTTGACTGCCTCTATTCCCAGGGGAGCCCTGAAGACTGAGTGTCCAAGGAGGAAGACATTGATGAGGATAACAGTTATAACTAGCAATTACTGAACTCCTGCTGTGATCCAGGCCGCTGTGCTAATGTTATGTGCAGTATCCCATTTGATCAGAGCAACTCAAGAAGAAAGGAACAGAAGCCTGTGGAAGTTACTGACTTGTTCTGGGTCACACTGCTGGGAAGTGAAGGGCCCAGGTGTTAAAGTAACCCAGGACCTACGGGGCGAGTCAAGGGGCAACAGTGATAGCCTGGGGTGAAGGGCCACCCACCTCGGGCAGCATGTATTTGCGCAGCAAGTTGACGATGATAGCAGCTGGTTCCTCTGGTTGCTCCGGGTCACTGCAAAGTCCCGTGCCTGCCAGTCGGAAGTCGAGGTTGAGACGCTCTAAGCCATGGAGCACAAAGAGGAGGTGGGACCCAGCGGCAGCCATCAGGGGCAGAACCTCCTTCAGGGGCGTGTAGCGCTGGGCCACAAGTTGGCACAAGGAGACTGGGGCAGGGCCCAGGGATGACAGGTCCTCGCAGGAGAAGGGGATGAGCAGCTCGAAGGCTGGCAGCCGCCCGTAACACCAGTCCAGAACCATCTTGCGCACCAGCGTGCTCTTGCCTGTGCCCACTGTCCCATACAGCACCACTGTCTGCACCCGGCGCCCAGAGGCATCCGGGTTAAAGAGCTGAGACAGGGCCAGTGGGGGGAGCCCAGCCTGGGGTGGCTGATGCTCCAGGGCCAGCTCCGCGGGTGGGCGAAGTAGCTCATCAGGGGTGCTCTCGCGGATCACAGGATCAACGTGGACCGTGTCTAGGGCAAAGGTCGGGCCAAACTGGCGCTCCTCCCTGGGCAGCCTGCTGAACCACTCAGCCAGGTTCCGGCGGTACCGCTGTATGGCTTCTGAGTGGGAAGACAAGGGAAATGGGTCAGAGAAAGGGGCCTGGAGATGTAGCTTAGGGCCAATCAGGGCGGTGGTGAGGTCAGGCTGGGACATCAAGGCATAGATGCTGGGGCCCACAATGGTGGGCACACAAGACTCCCTGAGAAAATATAGACTGTCCAGAAAGTCCAGAATCCCTATGTCAGAAAGTGGGGAGCCACTGGACATGTAATGCTGAGCCTGGACCAACTGGTTTCACAGTGACCTATGTGCCGTCTTAAAGCGCTTGACCCAACTTGGCTGAGGATAGGATGGTATGGCTCTCCTAGTGCTTTGTACATGTAAGTGTGCATTGCAAGAGTATTGCAGGAAGGGATACACAGACGGATGGGAGGGAGGCAGAGAGAGGAGGAGGGACCACCGATGGAAGATGGCAGTGGATCCTCTATGCCTTCCTCGCCCTGCTTCTCCTTCCAGCCCCATCTCCCCACCACACCCCCTGACCAGGGTCCCAGCCAGTCCCTTTACCAGTTGCAGAGGCACTGGGGAACAGCCGTCCATGCCTCCCGGACCGGGAAGCACTGTCTGCCAAGTTTCCATGGTGGCGTATAAAGGCCCTGGGAACAAGGAGAGGGGATGAGCTGGGACTTGGATCTTGGGTCAGCCCCTTCGAAAGCTCTGGATCCAAGCCTGTCTGCACTGCTAGATTTCCGCTTTCCTCAGATGCAGGCCCCACACTGGACCCCCAAGTTTAGAGGCTTGTCTGACTCTCACACCCTTCCCAGGTGCTGAGGCCTTAACCCTAGCCCTCCAGCCCCCACTGCTGACTGCCTGCCTGGAACTCAGGCTGGTCATGCCAGGCTCCACCCACTTCCCACAGGGTCCTCCCTCCACTGACTACTATGCCTTCTACCACAGATGATCTAAGCCAACTTCCTCTCAGGCCTTGGAGCTGCCACTGTATCCTCCCTCCCCCAGAGGACCAAGCCCCTCCCCAAGGTCCCCAAGAGATCAAGCTAGCCCCAAGTCTTGACCCTTCACAGTCTGCTCTGTTGTGCCCAGATTAGTCCTAAGGTATGACACCCAGGCCTCACCTAGGGGGCCCAAGGGGACGCTTCCCTTGAAGGGGCCAACTCCAGTGGATCAGGAAAGGGATACGTTCATCTACAGAGAGAAGGAAGAAATAGCATCTGCAGATCCCATCCCATACACAGAACCCATGTCTACATCAAACCCCCCAGTATTTGCTCTCATAGCAGCATGTACTGCCCTTTTGCAGCAGTTATTTTGCAACTTTATATTTCATTGTGTGATTATTTGATTAACATTCATTCCTCTCTCCTCCATGAGAGGGATCACATTTGGGTGTTTTAAAATTTTTTTGTCACCCTTACATCTGTTTTTGTTCACAATTTCTTACTTAGAACTTAACACCAGGTCTGCAGTACAGCAGGCACTCAGTAAATCTCTGTTGTATGTAAAGTAAAGTCAGACAAGTTCCTAGACTTATGTAGCTACAAGAGACTCTTGAAGACGATCTAGTCCAACTCCTTTTTTTTTTTTGAGACAGAGTCTTACTCTATTGTCCAGGCTGGAGTGCAATGGTGCAATTTCGGCTCACTGCAACTTCTGCCTCCCAGGTTCAAATGATTCTCCTGCCTCAGCCTCCCAACTAGCTGGGATTACAGGTGTGCACCACCATGCCCGGCTAATTTTTTTTTGTAGTTTTAATAGAGATAGGGTTTCACCATGTTGCCAGGCTGGTCTTGAACTCCTGACCTCGTGATCCGACCGCCTTGGCCTCCCAAAGTACTAGAATTACAGGAATGAGCCACTGCACCTAGCCAAGTCCAACTCCCTTATTTTACGATGGGAAAAAGGCAGCTGAGGAAGGTGAGGTGACATGCTGAAGGTCAACAGATAGAGAATCACAGAGCTGAGACTAGTGCACCTGGTATCTGGATCCCTGCTGTCTTGGAGGCATCATGTGGACCCTGGAAAGCAAGAAACATAAAAACAGAAACCCCTGCTTCCTACTCACCTGGTGGCTGGAGTGCTCTTCCAAAACCAGAGCCCCAAGAGGCCCTGGGCAAATGGTGGCCCCACCTCATTCTGGGAGAGAAGGCCAGAGCCTGGGGGGCCTAGGACTGACTTCTATCCTGCAAGAAGAATGGTATGAATGGATCACTGCCACCACTCCTCCCCTGCACCCCTAACCCCATTCCAGCCAAGGAGGGACCTTCCTCCCAAGAGAGGATCAGCCCTTCCTCAAATGTTGTCCCTGCTGAAGCCCTGGCCTGGCTTTCAGCTCTCATCCCTCTCCCAAACTCTCCAACTTGAGGGATCCCATTCTACTGCCTCAGCCTCCCAAGTAGCTGGGATTACAGGTGCCCACCACCACAGTGGGGTAATTTTTGTAGTTTTAGTAGAGATGGGGTTTACCATGTTGGTCAAGCTGGTCTCGAACTTCTGACCAAGGCAGGTAATCCACCTGCCTTGGCTTTGCAAAGTGCTGGGATTACGAGCATGAGCCATCACACCCAGCCTTCCTACCACGTCTTGCCTCTCCCCTGAAGCTTCACAAACACCTTTCCCTGAGTTCCACCCTGGGAAACTGCTTCATTTAGATGGCCTTTTTCCTTCTTGGTTGCCAGCAAGCTCAGATAGGAGTCCTGTGTTCATTTACAGTGGCTTTCCTGTGCCTAGATTTTCCAGTAATAATTATCCATCCCACTCTGCCTTTCTTCCCCAGATATCAGGTCCTTTTAGCTGAGTTTTAATAGCTTATCATTTTATGTTCTCTATGACTTTTATGTAAGCAGCTTTTGAAGCTGACATAAATAACAAATAAATGAATGAACTTCTCACTTGACATCTCCAGATGGACAACCTGCCACTGCTTCAAACTTCTCCCATGTAAAACTGAACTCATCATTCCTCTCCTCTTGTCATTTACCTTGCTGCAAATCTTCCCACCCACGCCTTACACTAGAAACCTGACCTCTGTCTTCAAATCTTTCTTCTCCTGCTCCTTCAGGCAGTGTGAAGAGTACCAGCAATTCCTCCCCACTGCTTTGCCAGCCAGTTGCTGCCCTGACCAGCATTTATTGGACACGATCTCTTCACCAGCCTTTCTGCCTTCAGTCTCATCCCATTCTAATCCCTCCCTCACCCCAGGCACCAAGCACCTCCCGAAAGTCTGAGGTTACGAGATTACGAGTCCAAACACCGGGCTCTCACAAACTATTTTTCTGAGTTTGTCCCAGCCCGTACCTTATTCCCCAGGCTCACCGGATTCTTGCTCTTGCTGTCCTAAATTTGTTCATACACTCTTCTCAGTTTGGAATGACCTTTCTCCTCTGTTAGAGTCCCAACCAATCTTTTTTTTTTTTTTTTTTTTTTTTTTCTGAGACAGGGTCTCTCGCTCTGTTGCCCAGGCTGGAGTGGAGTGGTGCGATCTCAGCTCACAGCAACCTCTACCTCCTAGGCTCAAGCAATCCTCCTGCTTCAGCCTCCTGAGTAGCTAGGACTACAGTGGTGTGCCACCACACCTGGCTAATTTTTGTTTTTTGTTTTTGTAGAGACCGGGTTTTCACCATTTTTGCCCAGGGTGGTCTCGAACTCCCGGGCTAAAGTGATCCGCCCGCCTTGGCCTCCCAAAGTGCAGGGACTGCAGGCTCAAGCCACCACTCGGGCCCCAATCAATCTTTTAAGATCCTACTCAAAAGTCTCCGTCCCTGGAAAGTCTTTTCTGAGGCCTCTGAACTCACTTAAATGGAATGTGTCCCAATTTAGCACCTGGTCTCCTCCACTGAGATCGGGGCTTCTTGGGCAGGGCACGCTTAGGGAGAACTGGCTGCATTAGGCCACCAGCGGAGGAGCTGGCAGGCTGCTGGCCCGTCCCAGGGGCTGGGGAAGGGTTAAGAGAGGGCTCCGGAAGCCTGACAAAGCCTAGGTTCCGGGTTAACCTCGGATCTAGGGCCACTGAGTCAAGACGGGACTCGCAGGGCCAAGGGCAGTTCTCCGGTGATCACCCAGATCTCCAGGGCAGTGAGAAAAGGAGGGGGCACTGCAGGAAACGTACAGGGGCGGTGTTCCCACAGGTCCAGAGCTCCTCCACCAAACTGGGTCCCAAACAGCTCTCCTACTTTCAGGTTGCCTCGGGGAACCACGGGGAGACTTGCCAGAACGCCCGCCATTCAGCGCCCAGCTCCGTCCCTCTCGTTCCCGGCCGGGATCTCCCCGCCGCCCTTGCACAGCCTCCTCCCCCGGCCCGCCCTGCCCCACGCTCATCACGGCCTCCCAGCCAGGGGCGCAGTGGCGATCAAGCCCGCCAGGCCTTTACCCGCGGCTGCACAGTTCCGGGAGACGTCGGCCGCGGCCCGGAGGGGTCGGCTGAGCGGACACCGGCGTCTCCCGCTGACTCCCAGAGTCCCCGGCTCCTCGGCGAGGCGCTTCCTGCCCGCCTCCGCCCGCCTGCTTGGCCCTGGCACCTGGCCCTGGCAGCGGGAGTGAAAGAGGACGAGCCCAGACACTTGGATCTGCGGGGTCTGAGGGGGTCAGCGAGAGGGGCCCGGTGCTCCGGAGCAGGCGCAGGGCTGGCACTCGGGCGCCACCCGTCCCGCCATCGCCCCCGCCCCCGCCCCTCCCTGCCTCCATCCCCGCGGGCATTGACGCTAGTACTGCCCTCTGCAGGTTCCCAAGCGCCAGTGACGCCCAGTGACCTCACTAACCACCTCCCAGGCTGGGCTGCTTGTTAGGCCCATTTTACAGATGAAGAAACTGATGCTCAGAAGGGTGAAATGACTTGTGCAGGTTGATTCAGTTAGGAAGTGGATGAGCCAGAACAAAATCCCGGGCCTGAGTCTTCCTACCTTACCCCTGGGCCTCCCTGAGGCACAGGTGTCGGGGGGATTCTTCCCTCTGTCCCTCTCTACTTCCCCAGCCTACCTTCAGGCAGAGACCTGAGCCTAAGACTTCCTTGGGTTCTCCCTTAGGTATCTGGTCCTCTTCAGACCCCAGACCTATAAGTGTGTGGCCTCTGGTAACCTTGGTTAAGAAAGGAGGAAGAATGGGGGCTGAAGGACAGCTTGCACCCCAACCTGCTCTTCGGGTCTGACACCCATTCATGGCCTAGCCCTGGGGCTTCCCAGTTCCCGAAGCTCCCACCCTTATCCCTGCACTTCCACACACTTCCACACCCTGGGCTCACGTAGCCCAGAAAGGGGAGCCACCCACCACCCACAGCTGGGGCACGCCTTTGTATGCAAGCATGAGTGGACAATATTCACACAACAGAGCTGTGCACTAGGGCACCAACAGACAGGCTCTCCAGGGCAGGGCTGGGAAGAGGACTTACTGAAAACAATGTGGATGTTTCATTTAGACATTTGTTCACTCATTGTAGTGTGGTATTGGGTAGTACTGAGCACCTCGCCCCCTTGAGCCAGGTTCAGCACTAGGCCCTGGGCTGCCAACCAAAACAAGGCATGCACCTCATTTTAATGGAACCAACTACCACATTTACAAATGATGTACTTCAAGGCCAAGGCAGGAGGATCATTTGAGACCAGGAGTTCAAGACCAGCCTGGGCAATACAGTGAGACCCTGTCTCTACTTAAAATGAAAATAGAAAATAAGGATGGGCACGGTGGCTCACACCTGTAATCCCAGCACTTTGGGAGGCCGACGCGGACGGGTCACAAGGTCAGGAGATCAAGACCATCCTTGCTAACACGATGAAACCCCGTCTCTACTAAAAATACAAAAAATTAGCCGGGCGTGGTGGCGGGTGCCTGTAGTCCCAGCTACTCGGGAGGCTGAGGCAGGAGAATGGCCTGAACCTGGGAGGCGGAGCTTGCAGTGAGCAGAGATTGCGCCACTGCACTCCAGCCTGGGCAACAGAGTGAGACTCCATCTCAAAAAAAAAAAAAAAAAGAGAAAGAAAATAAAAAAGAAAATAAAAATATAAAAAACAGACAAACAAATGATATCCGTCAGTGGCAGAGGCAAAGCATTAGGAGAGTCTGGAAAAGGGAGTGCAGAGGAGGTAACATTTGTACTGGATCTGAAAAAATAAATCAGAGGGCCACGAGCAGTGGCTCATGCCTGTAATCTCAGCACTTTGGAAGGCTGGGGGTGAGGGCAGATCTCCTGAGGCCAGGAGTTTCAGACCAGCTCAAACTGGTCACCATGGCCAACATGGTGAAACCCCGTCTCTACTAAAAATACAAAAAATTGGCCAGGCATGGTGGCTTTTACCTGTAATCCTAGCACTTTGGGAGGCCAAGGCAGGCGGATTTCCTGAGCCCAGAAGTTCACGACCAGCCTGGGCAACATGGTGAAACCTCATCTCTACTAAAAATACAAAAATTAGCCAGGCTGGGTGATGCATGCCTGCAGTCCCAGCTACACAGGAGGCTGAGGCGAGAGAATTGCTTGAATCCAGGAGGCGGAGGTTGCTGTGAGCCGAGATCACACTACTGCACTCTAGCCTGGGAGACAAGCAAGACTCCATATCCAAAAAAAAAATCAACCAGGAGTGGTGGCGTGGGCCTGTAGTAGCAGCTACTCAGGAGGCTGAGGCACAAGAATTGCTTGAACTTGGGAGGCAGAGGTTGCAGTGAGCCAAGATTATGTCACTGCACTCTAGCTTGGGAGATAAAGTGAAACTCTGTCTCAAAAATAAAAATAAAAGCACAAAAAATTATCTGGGCATGGTGGCACATGCCTATAATCACAGCTACTGGGGAGACTGAAGCAGGAGAATTGCTTGAACCTGGGAGGCGGAGGTCACAGTGAACCGAGATTGTGCCACTGTACTCCAACCTGGGCAATAAAGAGAGACCCAGTCTCAATAAATAAATAAATCAGAGAAAGGAAGGGCAGGGCATGCCAGCAGCAGGGTGAACAACACATTTGCATTTTAAAAGAGGTTCTTCAAGGAGAGTAGAATGGAATGTGGGAGGGGAAGTATAGGAACCCCATGAATGTAGTCTCAGGGGTGACAGTTTGGGCCTGATAAACTCCTCTAGTTTAATTCCACTTACCTAGCCATGCAAGGCAGTCACCTGGCGGCAGTTCCTGGACACAGCTCAGAGCAATCTGTTTTCCTTCCCTGTCACCTTCCCCATGGATACGACAGCCATGTAGGTTTTATTAATAACATATACTTTGGCCTCTTGCAGACAGAAGTACTGTGAGTCATGCCGTGGGCATGTCCTCTGTTGTGTGACCTCGGGATGGGGCACAGTGGCTCACGCCTAGAATCCCAGCACTCTGGGAGGCCGAGGTGGGTGGATCACCTGAGGTCAGTGATCCTGACCTTCGAGACCAGCCTGACCAACATGGTGAAACCCCATCTCTACTAAAAATACAAAAAAATTAGCCAGGCGTGGTGGCAGGCGCCTGTAGCCCCGGCTACTCAGGAGACTAAGGCAGGAGAATCACTGGAATGCAGAAGGCAGAGGTTGCAGTGAGCCAAGATCATGCCACTGCACACTCCAGCCTTGGCTAGAGTGAGACTCTGTCTAAAAAAAAAAAAAAATTATAGCATGAGGCCGGAGTGTGGTCGCTCACACCTGCAATCCCAGCACTTTAGGAGGCTGAGGCAGAAGGATCGCTTGAGCCCAGGAGTTTGAGACCTGCTTGGGCAACATAATAAAACCCTGACTCCACAAAAAATAATTAAAAAAAAAAAATTAGCCAGGCGTGGTGGCATGCACCTGCAGTCCCAGCTACTCTAGAGGCTGAGATGGGAGGATCCCTTGAGCCCAGGAGGTTGAGGCTGCAGTAAGCCATGACTGCACCTTGTACTCTAGCATGGGTGACAGAACGAGACCCTGTCTCAAAAAAAAAAAAGAATTATTGCACGGACAACTGTCTTGGTCAACTCTGGTCTTCAGCACTTTGCATAGGTCTGGACAGAGAAGGTGATTGTGTTAAAGAAGATGATGTCGGCCGGGTGTGGTGGCTCATGCCTGTAATCCCAGCACTTTGGGAGGCCAATGTGGGTGGATCGCCTGAGCTCAGGAGTTCGAGACCATCAGGGCTATATGGTGAAACCCCATCTCTACTAAAAATACAAAAAAATCAACCAGGTGTGGTGGTGCACGCCTCTAATCCCAGCTGGAGGCTGAGGCAGGAGAATTGCTTGAGCCCCAGAGGCGAAGGTTCCAGTGAGCTGAGATGGTGCCACTGCACTCCAGCCTGGGCGACAGAGAGAGACTCTGTTTCAAAAAAAAAAAAACAAAAGAATACAGTATCTCAAGAGCTTGCTCAAGTCATTTCTTCAAGCCTAGGTTTCCTTTTCTATTTTGTGTACTTATTTTTATTTATTTATTTATTTTGAGGCAGAGTTTCACTCTCGTTGCCCAGGCTGGAGTGCAATGGTGCGATCTCAGCTCACCGCAACCTCCGCCTCCCAGGTTCAAGAGATTCTCCTGCCTCAGCCTCCTGAGTAGCTGGGATTACAGGCATGCACTACCATGCCTGGCTAATTTTTGTATTTTTAGTAGAGATGGGGTTTCTCCATGTTGGTCAGGCTGATCCCAAACTCCGACCTCAGGTGATCTGCCCGCCTCGGCCTCCCAAAGTGCTGGGATTACAGGCATGAGCTACCACGCCCGGACTCCTTTTCTATAAAAGAAGGACATGATAGTGCTCATACCAGCAGTCTCGTGGGGTTGCTGTGGGAATCAAAAGAGCTCTCTTAGCAAATATGTGAGCCACTCTACGAGTGTTCTCTGTGCCTGCATGGCCTTTGCTGGCTCTGGAAGGCCGATGGCCTTCATTAGCTCCCACAGGAACTTGTAAATGTGTGAATCTGTAAGTGTTTAACCCTTTCCGAAGTATTTACTGTTTTTTTGTTTTGTTTTGTTTTGTTTTGTTTTTAACAGGGTGTCACTCTGTCACCTAGGCTAGCGTGCAGTGGCACAATCATAGCTCACTGTAATCTCAAACTCCTGGGCTCAAGTGATCCTCTCACCTCAGCCTCCCAAGTAACTAGGACTATAAGCACTGCCATCTTGCCCAGCTAATTGTTTGTTTGTTTTTATAGAGAGTTGTAGTGATGGGGCCTCCCAAAGTCCTGGAATTACAGGTGTGAGCTACCATGCCATGCCCTAGTATTTACGTTTTAAAAAAAGAAAGAGGGCCGGGCATGGTGGCTCATGCCTGTAATCCTAACACTTTCGGAGGCTGAGCTGAGAGGAATGTTTCAGCCCGGGAGTTGGAGACCAGCCTGGGCAACATGATGAGACCCCATCTCTACATTTTAAAAATTTTAAAAATTAGGGCTGAGGTTAGGAGTTCGAGACCAGCCTGACCAACGTGGAGAAACCCCATCTCTACTAAAAATACAAAATTAGCTGGACGTGGTAGTGCATGCCTGTAACCCCAGCTACTCGGGAGGCTGAGGTGGGAGAATCGCTTGAACCTGGGAGGCGGAGGCTGTGGTGAGCCGAGATCGCGCCGTTGCACTCAAGCCTGGGCAATGAGAGTGAAACTCTATCTCAAAAAAAAAAAATTAAAATTATCTGGGCATAGTGGCATACACCTATGGTCTCAGCTACTCAGGAGGCTGAGGGAGGAGGATCCCTTGAGCCCAGGAGTTCAAGGCTGCAATGAGCTATGTTTGTACCACTGCACTGCAGCCTAGGTGACAGAATG